CAAAACAACTGGGATTTCCCGATATTTTACACTACGAAACTCCAAATCAAGCTCAAAGTGCAGGACAAAGTGCTCATTTTCGTCCTTTCAAATGCTCCATAATGCTGTGGTGCTCGGATAGTCTCATAATACCGAATACAATGCCGGCATATAGTATGTTACATTAGGTCAATGTGTGAGCGCGTGCTTCATTTTTAGAACAAATCCTCTCCTAATAAATAATCGCCAACATCGCTTGCTATTTCGTAGCGTAATTCAAGAGGAGAATTATGCTGAATGTTATGAATTCACGAAACCGTCCCATGTACACAGTATTCTCTTGTCGCAATGGCTGGATGTTCAGTTGATCGTTAAATACTAGGACATGTAGCACTTACAGTCAATCATTTTATTGGAAACTAGCACCCAGCTGGTCTCCGCCGTAAAGTAATAGAGAGAAACAGGAAATAAACACAGCAATTAGAGTACAGTACGTTTTTACTTTGAAAAACTGCGAGAAAAGGAAAACTTAAGTACAATGCAATTGACAATACGCCAAATAAACCAAAAAAAGGTCAGCAGTAAATCATGGCAAGAAAATCTGACTGCAATGCTTCAGAGGCTACAGACGAGTAGCGTAGGTACGTTGTGGGTCCAACAACAGCAGAAAAACAACCTCCAGAGCTACAACAGAACGCAGCAAGAAGCACGAGCGCAGCAACACACTTCCTGGGTCGCGACATCACACACTCCGCCCGATGCACTGTCACACACTTTGTGAGTCGCACCGTCAACGGTCTCCTTGCATGCCATACCGTTCAATGGCGTTCAGCAATTCCTCTTTTGTCAATTCCTTTTCAGACTGCGAGGTTGGAAATGTGGAAAGTAGGTAGCTTCCCAGGTCACGATAGAGAACGTCCCGACTGGGGCGCCTAGACTGGGGCAGACTGTGCCAGAGCTCGTCGTACTCCACGACAGCCACGAAGTAATCCTCCAACTGCGATATACGTAGGCTTCCCCTGATGAGCAGCGTGAGAACAGAGTGACACTCTGCTACCTTTACTGTGAAATCGATCCAATTCTGAGTCGCCAAAGCGTCATCGCTGAGAAGGCCACTCTTATCATTCATGATTAATATGTAGTCGTATAGGCTATAGATCCACCGAGTAGTAATGTGCTGAGGGTGTGTTGGTATCAGATTCTCACATTCTAGTGATGAGTTCAATGTTGGATCCCTCCTTGCAACGCATTCAAAGCATTTTTCAAGCTCTACTAGCTTACAAGAGCGATTCGCGTAGGGCAAGTAGGACTCAGTCTCCGGAATATCCTTGTCCAGTTTTTTCAGGATACATGTTTGGTACTCTTCATGGGAGCCACATATATTCAACAACAAACTCGTCGCGTCGTTTAAACTGTACGTCGTCCATCCTCCTTGTCTACATTTTTCCTTAGTCAATGAAGTTGGAAGGTTCGGTAGGTAGGAAGAAGTTTCTTCTGATGGTAGGCAAAGTGTTTCTGTTAAAGGCTTCGATTGCGGAGGGCTGTACCGGATAATGGTGTGGGCTTTAGGGGACATCAACTCTAGACTGGACAATTGCACGATCGTTCTGAGTTTTTGGTTGAACGCCTGGTGATGATGATGAGGATCATCGTGGTCGACAACGCAGTAATGACCAGCTCCAGGTTTACTTACACGTATCTTCAATACTCTGCTGGCGATGCAGAGGTGCTTCGCAACTATGATGTATGACAGTGTCAAATTTGGACTAATCTGATTACGATTCTGCATGCATGGGGCAAAAACACAACATAAATCTATTATGAACAGGCACATTATTTAATTCC